ACAAATATCTTGGGTTAATACAAATTTATCCTTTGCAGAACATAATACGAGTCTATTTTCAATCCCTGGTTCATCTTCTTTTGAAAATGAGTCTGACATTGGTCTCTGAAATAATTGATACATGATTAATTAACAATCACATTAATACATTTTTGAAAAAGAGAAACGCATTAAGAAATAGTGCAAAGAACCATACCTGCAATCCTACACCAGGTACACCAAAGATACCTCTCATTTTTGCTTTGGGCCCTCTTTTCCTCCCAAATTCTGTCATCTTTTGTCGCTTTTGATATCCAAGTTTACCAATTCCTTTCGGGCGGCCAATTATCCCACCTCCGAGTCCTAAGCGTTTCTTCGCAATTTTAGTCGCACAGAATGGTTTTCCTTTTCCAAGACCTATAGAATACAGTGCTTCCTCTGATCCTCCTTGATAATCAAATTCTGACGAATCTCCATCACCATACAGACTTTCTTGTGACGCACTTAAACTCAAATCTCCACCATAATCATCAATATTATCTTTTCTTTTCACAAGTGCCATATTTTTGCAATGTAAACAAACATATTCATAATCAGGTTTAACGTCTTTACGATGTTGGTAAGTTAATGGATCAGCCTCAGGGTCACAGGTACCATGAACAAATTTTTTACATGCACTACATTGAACCATTTCCCTATATGCGGCAGCCCGATATGCCTTTCTACAAAGAGGACACGAAAAACCTTTGTTCCTTTGTTGGTAACACGAATCACATACAGTGTAATGGGAATGCCACCGTGATGAAAGACCAGCGCCTGGTGTACGTGAACCACAGTCTGTACATACACGGCAGCACTTACACTTCCAACCATATTTAGGTATAGATGTAACAATTGGTCGTAAACAACTAGGATGGTATGCTTTTTCACAACGTTCACACAACATTACTTTTGAAACATCTTCTGGTTGACGGCACACTTGACATACTCTGCAAGATACACATTGCCAGCCAGCGCGTACACCAGGTAGTAGTGCTAAACCGACACAACTACCGTGGTAGTGTTGGCCGCAGATGGAACACATTACTAGGTTGGAAACATCTCCCATCCCACAGCAATGCATACAAGTAATGTCACCGTTCACTAAAAAATAGAATATATAAATATGCACATCTAATATATATAGATATTGTACACAAATACCATACATATTGTACACAAACTGTATCAAAAAAACTATCATATAGCACTTACACAAAAGTGGAACTTGTCCCAAGTGTTGACTACAAAAGAGGGACAAACTTTTTGTATCCTGGAAACAACTTGAAGCTGCAGCACACGGTAAATGAAAATAACGATTGCACGACGCCACCTTTTTAAAAAAAAAAGTATGTTATGATCAAATATGGAATTAATTATATTTATATAATGAAAATCTGCAAAAAATTATAAAAGAAAAGAAACACTGACTTTGCAAGGAATTCCAGCTCCATAATGAGAACAACAAGCGCAACGTCTCGATGAAGCTTGTACTACCGCTGGGCTTAATATTTCTGTTGTTAGCTCTTGAGTGTTGCTTGACCATACTGCACAAGATTGATGAACATAATAGTGCCCAGTTGACTCAAATAACGTTCCTATTTCCGGTTCTTCCGAATATCCTACTATGGTTAATTCTTCCACTGGTTCCGAAAAATTTGTTAGACTAGTATTTCTATAAAAAATAGTTTTTTTTTATAAACAACTTAGACAACATTAAAACAACTTTATAACATGCATAATTATTCATTATAATTTTCAGATACCTGCACTTAGCTAGACTCTTTTGCCTACGACAAGTCACAGCACCAGGACCTGCTGTTCTCGGACTTTTGTCTCCAGTAGATATATCAACAAGGTGATCAGTTGTTTCGTCACGATTAGCTGACTTTTCAGGGGTAAAACCTTCAGGACAGGTAAATCTTAACAACTCACCCTGACCTAATTGACTTCTTTCACCCAAATTACATAAAGCACATACTTTCCCTGGCCTAGAAATTAAAATAGTTATTAACTTACAGTCCCAGTTAATATAGAAATAAAAACTGAAACATTAAATATTTTTACCATTGTTCTGGAAAATATGGTGGTTCTTCTGGTGCTGGCATGCATCTCTCAGTGTTAGATGTCTCTCCATCAGGAGTAGCATCTTCACCAAGACGAAGAGGACTTGGGGATTCTGAATGTGTATCATCATCTTTACTTTTAGTACGACGTGGTACACCTCTTGCATACCCAAGACTAAATAAATAAAATAATAAGTATAATAACATAAAAAACATAAATATTCATATATTATGTACAAGACAACTTAATAGAGAAAGTTATATTTATGCATTTCAATCTAATACAATACTAACCCTTTTCCTCTAGTAGTTCCCCTTCCAAAAGGTCTACGAGTACCTCCACCACGTGTAATTCCAGGTGGCCGTTCTTTTCTGGGTCTACCTGGACCCCGCCTAATATTTAGAGGTTTACCTCCAGGGAGTGGAAATTTCTGGTACCGTAAAGGATCATGAAAAGCTTCATCTGGGGTTACTGCAAGAGAAACAAACTTTTGTGCTTCCTCTGAAATGACATATAATTTTTATAATGATATTATGTATTGAAATGTTATGATGTGTAAACCATTAATATTATAAATTTATCAAAATATAGTGAAAACATATACTCACTATTACCAGGAGTTGTTGGTACAGGGCCAAGTAATTGATCTGAATTTGCTGGTGATACAGGAATTCCTGTTGTTTCTTCATCTTCATCTTCACCATCAGAGGCTTCATCTAGTTCCATTTCTTCCTCACCCTCAAGACGCTCTTCATCATCCATGGCACCTCTACGTTGCTATGTAGTCCTAAGTAAGTAAATCATACATCAAAAGACCATTATTTATGTTTTAAATGTATATCTATGTCATAATCACATTAAAAAATTATATTAGAATTTGTGAAACTATTTTCCTATGAAAGTTAGTACAATATCTCCTCAAATTATCCATATGTTAGCCTATTGAATATTAAAATGAATATAGTAACAATCTTTGATTACATATGTTAATTACATAAATTAAATTCTTTTATTGTATTTAAAAATACTATAACTCATAAATTATCCTCAAGAAACATTATATATATATATATATATATATTTATATTTATATATATTTATATATATATTATTTATATTTATATATATATATATATATATAATGATAAAGATATATATATATATATATATATCTTTATATAGTAGTGATAATAGATGGGTAAGTTCATAATGATATATTATGGATATAGTAATTATAATAGTATTTAAGAGAATTCATTAGGAAAAAAGCTGAAGTAAATATCATATTACATATAATAGATAGATTAACTTCGACCTTGACTGTATTTCCAACTTAAATTTCATATTTCTACACTTATTGAAATAAAACATCATATATCATTGTAGATATGCACTTTGAAATATTAAAAATCATTAATTAAATGTAAGATACATAGTCCCATGATCAAAAATTTAAATTTTCCTTGACATTAAATATATCTTACTGAACATGACACAAACAAACCTTCAAAATAATAAAAACTAACAAGAAACAGAAATTCTCTTTATCTTTAACCTTTTGATTAATATTCGATCATATTTTAAACCACTTTTATAAATATTTTTACTATAGATATCCAACATTTTGTGAAAGAATATCATATTTTACACGAAGATGTTCTGAGCACAATCACATAACATTCATAAAATTCGAATGATTATTTAATTTGCCATCCATTTTTCACTCATCAAGACTCCGAAAAATAATTTATAAGTGAGAATTTTCAACTCTGTTGGAGTTGTTACCGATAATTCATATACGAGTGTGGTGCAAAACACATCAATCATTTTCCTTACGTATCAATGGTTATTCCTATAGCCGTATCATAGATTACCATGGTAATATTCTTTTTCATAGAAAAATATCGGTCTCGCTCAAAACTGTATTTCACTGTTAATAGAAACATTGACTCGCCTTTGGTCCGAACTCACATAGCTTTTAATCTCTCTACAGTATAGACCTCAGTCAGCTACAGCAGGATGGCGTGCCGCTCGACAATCGGCGGTCATTACACAGTGGGGAAAACCGAGGCACTATAATCACCGAAAAACGCCACTTTTCATCACCAAAAATCACAAACTGTTCTTGTCACTAACAACAGTATCATCACATACGAGACATTGTTTTGCTGTTAGTTTCCCGCGTGCACACTTAACTTAGACTAAATAAGGCAAGGTATAATTTTGTTGGCACGGCCTTTACGGCGACAGTACGCCATTGCTATGTCAGAGTTTGCAGGCTATAAACATACCCGGGCCGCCCGTAACCACGCCGGATCACGTACCTTCCAGTTACTGTTGTCTCCTTAGCAGTTTCATGGTGGCTTTGCACGCGGAATTATCGGGATCCTCGTCGAAATTCGCACGGCTCATCCAAGTAAACATCTTGTAGTAACAGAAAAAAATGTCATAAGCTGCTTGAACGGAAGAGTACGCAACTGACGAAGCGCTAAAGTCACGGAGTCCGGATGTTGGAATAAAACCAGAGTGCGCACTCGCTTAGGTGCTCACATGTGCTGCCGCCATCGTCTAATACCCGAAAACGTGTAGGAACCATTGATACAGAGAATCGAAGAAAGGATACACCAATAGAATTTTGCTAACGCAATAAGTTTATTAATATTTGATTTTATTTTGATTTTGAGTACATTTTACAGAAAACGAAGTAGGTCTCTGCGCATCAGGGATATCTCGTAACTTGTAGAAATAATTAGTAACTTGTTTTAGTAAAAATATTTTTTATTTTGATATACGCAAAATAAGATACAAATTTATTAATAATTTTAATAGTTTAGATAATGTTATATTCAATCGCGAAATATAATTCGCTAATAATTAACTATGTTTAATTATTGATAAAATTGAAGACAAAGGTATCATAGTGTATTTTCTTATGCATTATCACTAAAACGTATAAAGTTGGCGGAAGTGTCACTGTAAAATTCAAAATATCTTAAACTGCGTATACACTTAGTATTCCTAGATGCAATAAATTCGTCGCAGTGACGAAACTCCTGATGTACCATGTTCTTCTAGGAAATTGAGTATTCTATTAATAACTATAAAACAAAAGTAAGTGTCATAATAATGATATAAATATTATGTTTTCTTATACAATATTAAATTTTCATTGCGAATATACCTCGCAGATCTTCACTGCTCATGAACATACGCACGATTGGGAAACGTTTCACTTGGCAAAATGATTTCAAAAAATTATTCAGCAGCTCCGTGTCACTGGAAGTGCAAAAGTACCGTTCCAAACAATGTAAGATAGTACTGAACATGCTTCCATTTATTTCATTGCCTAAAACTAAAATATTTTTTATAGCAAAAACATTCTATAAATTTGTTACATTTTATTAGGATACGAACTTGAATTTAATTTATTGACGTCTAGTGATCTCAGTAATTGAGCGTATACTTCTAAGTCAGTATCATTTTTCAATGACCGCCATATGCGCATAAATTCGTATCCATTTTCAATATTCTCAAAATCCTGAAAATAAATTTACGTTAACTACAAGCTTTTTTTTGTTATTAGTTTTATACCTTCGAAATATATTTTTCCGGTTTCCTAATTTCATTTTTACATTTAGCCGCTACTTTTACCTTCCCACGTGATATCCTGTTACATTTCTTGTTCGAATTACCACTTTGTTCGCTATTTTTATTCAAACTTTTAGCATTCGGCACTTCTACTTGCTCGTCATCGTTCGTTTGACTTTTGTTCGTGATTTTTGTATTCTTATTTGCAACCGTTTCGTTCGGTTTAGTTCTATCATTCGCGTATTTATTGTTACTAGGCTCATTAGGTAATTCCTCAATAATAACTGAACTAGTTTGGCAAGGAGGTCTTGTGACAGAAAAAATTGATTTCTGTTTTGTGCCTAAAACAGGATTACTCTTTTCTTGAAACTCTTTAGGTATATTGGAAGAAAAATTGTTAGAAGAAACAGAGTTTTTGGTCGGCACAGTGTTCAAATTAATTACTTTTTGAGCACTATCAGATTTCTTTGAAGTTTCAATTGTTGTCGTCCCTCTGTTATCGTTCTCAAAACAATACTCAGCTTTAATATGTGGTCTGGGTCTTAAACAATGCGACGGACCCGGCGCCCTGTCACAAAAACATATGTAACTCGGTATATTGAATATCGTGCCAAACTGCGAAAGAAAATTTCTAGTTTCTTCGATTTCATTTGACTGTGATCTTTTATTTATGTTTTCTGGTTGTTCTTCCGCGATAGTCATTCTAAAAAATATCAGAATTAAATAGACTTTTGGGTTCTTATAATTAAATATGTTTCTTTATCTTACCTTACTGTTCTAGAGTCACATGACATCCTTAATCTTTTTACGCCGGCAATCGCTGTTATATCGTTTGGTGCTAATTTCAAAACAGCTTCGTAGTCTGCCAATGCCTAATAATTATACATATTTTTATTTAATACAAGCTTTTATAATCAAGGAAAAAATTAGTGGATATATTTGAATACCTGAGATAACTTTTTAAGATGTTCTAAACTCATAGCTCGACGAAGAAGGGCTTTAATATTCGTATGTTCTATGCTAAGTACTATGTTACAGTCATTAAGAGCATCGTTGTACCGCTGAAGTTTAATGTCTGAAAAAATATAATCGTATTTGACCGAAATTTCTTTTTTAACGAAATGAATGAAATAAATTTTTTTACATGTCATCGCGCGATTGTTGTACGCAATTATGTTTGAATTCATATTTATGCTAGTATTGTAATGCTCCAACGCTTCCTCGTAATCTCCAGCTCTGAAAGCTTCGTTTCCTTTACCCTTTTCCTCTTCTGCCATCACGTCCAATTCGGTTCCTGTCAGTGCAGCTAATAATACCACATTTTCTCATTTAACTCTTTCAATACAATATTTAAAATAATTAGAGGATTATTTTATATAAGATAAGTAGTTTCGTGAACATACCTTTATTAATAATAGCATTTTTTTGCAATTTCTTTTCCTGAATAATTTTTTTCTGTTTCTGCAGTAATTTTTTCGCTTCAACCTTTTGTTGTTCATCTTGTAAATCTATTTTATTCAATTCAGTATCAACGTCATATTTATCCCAAGCAGCGTAATTACACGGAGCAATTGTTTTTCTTTTAGCACTTTTCGAGTTTCTTTTAGATTTTTTCTAATTGAATTAAAAAAACAGGATGGAAATATTTTTAAGTGAAATTACGCGTTGATCTTAGTACAAATAATTAAATATACATACCTTTACAGATTGTTCTTTAAATTGTCGGATATCCGGCATGAGGGGAAAATCTAATGTTGTAGTTTTCCCTTCTTCTAAGTCTCTTTCACGAATCTGCATTTCAGTCATCCAATCGTCAATATCCTTATCAATTTCCTTACATTCGTTCGGTTCTAACATATTGCGTTTAAGAATGGGTTCAGACTTTCTTAATATTATACTAGTTGGCTTAATAACGCTCAAGCGTTTCTCTGCATGCTTCAGTAAATCTGGATAGTGTCCTTCTTCACCGGAACTATCAATAAAACATAAACAATTTTTTTTTGTTACTAAAATTTATACATAAAAACGCATTTAAAATTAAAAACATTGAAAATTAAGTATACAGATAAAAGTTTATTAAGGAGACAATTTTTGAAAACGCCGCCGATTTATAATTTCTACTTACCGCAGTATAGTCACTATGCGCTCCAACTTTTTTGTGTTCGCACATTCGGAAATGTATTCATACGAAAGATGCTCGACCGGTATATCATATCTTTCGAGCAAAGATTTTTGTCCAGATTTCGCATTGCGAATAACGCCCGCATCAGTCTCGACCATGATATCAGACAAGATACTGTTCATTGGAAAAAATATATTTCTGTTAGAACCTAATTAGTAGCGTTACCATGGATACACACATACTAAATTCTTAGTTTCATATAGATGTATGGTTTATCTACTAGGTATGTTCACATATTAGGCTCAATCGATAAGACAGGAAATCTTCTTTATGATGCATTTCCAACGAAAGATCACCGATGAATTAGATGAATATATATACAGCAACGTATGCATGCGTTCATTCAATCATTCGATACCTATTTATCATTAGGTACCATTTGGTACCTAATGTTCCATTAGTTTAAAAACCTAATACAAGTAGTTTAATAGACAGATAGTAAGCTACTCAGTATCATTTAGTCTTAGAACTTTTATCCACGTGAAATACGTTTTTGTTCAATTCAAAACGATTTAAATACACGAAACTTTTATGATGGATTATATAGGTTACAGAGAAACATTCTCAATTACTACCAATTTAAAGGTACATCTTGAAAGTTAGTGACTGCAAAAAATACCTGCACATAACCTTATTTTTCAATGAAGCGTTTTTTTTTTCACGCTCTACGTTTCATTTCTACAACATCAAAATTTTGGAGTGGAACTATTAAATAATACGAAATTTAATATATTTGGACCAAATTAATTGGTATGTAAATACTATAATAAATGCAATTGTGTACGTGCAGGTATATTTTGTAGCCACTGTATATATTCTGATAATATACTTTACCCTAAAATAGTAGCGATAATAACGCGAATTCTATTTCAGACTATTTTTGATAAGAAGTCGCTTCCATCCAAATTGATAACGTGAGCGTGATAATTGGAAGCAAAAAATTTGCTGTAGTTATACGAGCGAGCGCCTGCGTAGTTACCTGTACTGGCGGACACGCGCTTGCATACTAGCGCTCGCGCATCGGTCTCCGGCAGTCCGCTCCGCTTACCTGTTAACACGGCAGTCATCTTGTAGCGTGGAGCGGTACGCCATGCCGTGGCCGAGGCGTGCAGTGGGCACGCTGGAGAGTGCATATTAGACAGTGCGAAGCGCTCAGACTCGAGCATTCGCCGGCGAGCGCTCGGTGAGTTCGGTGTAGAGGTGTTTATGCGTATCGCGTGTTCGCTCGCTCTCGTTCGCGTATACATATTCTCATCAGTGAATTTCGCCTCGTTTCGTCGCGTATCATTACGGTAAACAGTATCAAACGTACACGAGCAACGGTAGACCACATAACGGCCAATCAAATCGTGAAATTATTCATCAAGTGAATTTATTGTCACAAGTGGAATACCAGGTATTTATTCATGCGAATATTCCTACGTTTCGTATCTTCTTACGTAGAATCGTATCAGATAGTATTATCGAAAGCAGGCAAACACGAGTAACATCTGTTCGCTATTTAATATTTACATATCGTGCTCGGCCTTCTGGAGGTCGCGTCGATAGGGAATTTAATGGGAGTCCATTACGCTTGATTTATGGTCTGAAAATGTAATTCAAGATAGCGCTTTCGTTTGAATACAAACTCTTCTCGCTTGGAGTACGCCTGCAGCGTGTAAGACTGTGCGCATCTGTCATCGGACAGGCACCATATAGTAGCTATCAGCGATAAAATATTTAACCTGCAAATGAGCTCGGTCGGTGTACGGGTTATCTGTAAAGGACACGCCGAGAAGTGAAACCACGCACGTTTTCCCGGTCGTCAATAAATAAATATCAAAATACAATACATTCACGCGTAGTATTCCCGAATATTTGAATTTCATTTCGTGACGAGGTTATATACCATAAAGAACAATATGTTATTTCATTTTCGCGGTCGTATGATGTACGACGGATGCTAGAGTGTGTTATCTAATCTACGTGACTTAAACCGGCAAAGAAACGAAACATAAATTGATACACGACACCATTTACGGGTCCGACACGAAATCTCGTAACTCTCGTGAAAATATAATTCAACGATCGTGCGATATGTCTCTTGTTTTCTGAAAATACGCGAGTATTCGCGCCGGATTCTCATCCGCGCCAGGTTCCGTAAAATTCTAACACGACTTTTACCAGTGTTCGCGTGTGAAACGGTGATTTGTCAGCGGTTTCGTTCGATATAGAAAAAGTAAAAAGCGGAAGATAGAAAAAGAAAGAGAAAGAAAAACGCGTACCGGAAAAATTTGATGAAAGAAAAAAAAGAAGAAAAAGAAATTCGAGCGGCGCGACGTAGGAATTGCAGGGGAGCACGTGGGCGGTGCTTGAAGTCTAGTTCTGCGCGCCTCTCGCTTCCAGTATTCGTCTGCCCGTCCGAGGGAGCGCGAGTGTTACTCCGTTGTAGCAGTGGCGCGCGCGCGCGCACCTTCTAGCCTTTTTTCGTAATCCGGACGAGAGGCCGACGTTGGCGGCGCCAAGCGAGAAGAGAAGATGAGGAGGGAGGCCGTCGACCCGTTATAAATGGAACTAGCAAGACAGCATTTCTTGAATCGTTTCTTCTGTTATTATTCGCAGCGTGTCGGCGCACTAGCCCGCATGTTTGTCCGCGGCGTTACCAGAACCTGCACATCCTCCGATATTATTATCGCCGTGGTCCAAAGGATGCAGTCGAATCGTGGCGACCGTGGAAAGTGAAGTTTTCGAAAGGAAAAAAGAGAAATCGAAGGAGCGAGAAATCGACGGACAGAAAGTGGTATTTTTTGATGACCAAGCGACCAGCGTGAAACTCTTGACGGGCACGAATTATAGTGGCGCCTTTTTAGTGAGCGCGAAAGAGAAGAAATTTCAAAATTCGAGATATGCCCGTGGCGACATACGGTGTACAATTCTGGAAGTTCGCAAACGGTGATAAGTGGACAAAGTTCGAAGATCGTGTTTTACCTGTTGTTCGGTCGATAATATACGGCGAGTCTCGGTTTCGCGGTTGCACGCTCGTTTAAATTGGCTGTCACAATTCGAGACGCTCGGTGCCGACTTGTTCGCGAGAAGATTGCGACGGTCGAGCCAGTGAATCACATCTGAGAGCGACATTTCGAAAGATCGATGTGTCGTCGGGTCTAAAAAGGTGGCTCTTACTCAACGCCGTTTATCGCGCCATTGGGGAGCGCGTGCTTGGAATGAATGCCGCGTTTTCAACCGCTATGTGAAGTTGTCCCTACAGTTTGAACGTGATTAGTGGATGCGCTACAAGAGACCGAGTGTCACCGGTTGCTTTGCAATGTGAGTAAATAGAAACTTCGTGTAGAGACAGAAGAACCGAGGAACAAATCAAACAACCACTCTTTAGAGGTTTTGTTGTCGTTTGAATATCGTTGACCCGATGTGAATGTATTCGAAGGAAATATTCGCGTCGCTTCTATAAAGGTTAGTTACGATATTTTTGTCTGTGAACGTTTACATTTTTCGACAAAATATATTTCTCGTGAATCGTTTAGTGACGGGGTTCGTATATGTAAACGTTTATTCGCGATTCTTCTCTCGTGTATGTGTGTGATGTGAATGGACTTTAATACGGTCGAAACGAAAGAAACTGTAGGTCGAGTGAAAAGTAACACGAACAGTGTTAATCGGACAGCATATGATGTGCAAGCGCGGCTCGAACGACACCTAACATCCACGTCTGATGACAAACGTGAACAGGATCAGGGTGGTCGTCCTCGGCGGCCCCAGAGTCGGGAAATCAGGTAACCTAAAAATTTTTTACCTCAATTCTTTAGTTCGTCGCGCGCAACACGAACTTTAGTGGCGCTGTTAATCATAACGTAGGAAGTAACTGTATGAAGCGAGCTGATTAATATCAGGATTCAATTAGCAAAATACGATTAGTTTCTTTTAACTCTTTGCATTCGAGTACCTTTTGGGTCGAGCGTAGGAGCTACTCCGGATGATTTAGCGTTTACGTGACGCGTGTCTTACAGCTATCGTAAAATGATTTTATATATAAATTAAATTACAAAAATATTATATTCTAATAATTTATCTATATTTACATCTTTGAAAATATGATTTTGTAATATTAATTTCTGTATTTTTTTTTTGTATGAATTTTGTAATATTAATTTCTGTATTTCTGTATTTTTTTTTTGTATGATAATTTATGAAGCATTCACCAAGATGCATTCTTGAATATAATTGATCTCATTTTTCTACAGTCCAAAATCAAGTTCATCCTCATTTGAGCTAATTTCACTTCTGAAAACCATTTTTTTAGGGTTTCTAAATTATAATACTTTTACTATGATCTTCGAATCTAAACTAACGTCGGAGACGTCGTCAAAACCATAATTTCGGAGGCATATGGAACTAAATATTTTATCTCCATTTTAAAGTCTATCAATTTACACTTCCTAACAAAGAACGGGAAGAGCTAAGGAATCAATTTACGTATCAATATTGCACTTTCATCAATTAGAGATGTCGAAATCTAACATAAGCAGGGACTGTCGCCTCTCGCTCGCCATTGAAGTTGCAATACGGAACGCCGTGGTGACTGAGAGTCGCCTCTCGAGTGCAAAGAATTAAATATACAGGGTGTTTGGTAACTGGTGGTACAAGTGGAAAGGGGGCGATTTTACGCGAAAAAAGAAGTCGAAAATATAGAATAAAAATTTTTCGTTTGAGGTTTTGTTTTCGAGAAAATCTACTTTGAATTTTCGCTGGGTACGCGTGCATTTTATCACATCTCGTTATAACGGATCTCACTGTAGATCGTTGTCTCGATGGAAAAATTAAAAAAAAAATTTTTATTGGTTATATTGGTTTATATGGTTATTTAACGTGAACCTAACGCCGTAATGTGATATAACAACAAAACTGAAACGATTAAATTGATAATTCAGAACTCAATTCACAACTTACAATTAGCAACCCCGAACAACTTGGCAGTAACTTACAACAATCAACTCGCAACAATTCTGCAACAACTTACAACTAACAACTCGTAATAACTCGGCCACAACTTACAACTTGCACAACTTTCACAACTTACAAATTGTAACTTAATACTTGCAGCTTGCAAGTGAGTAACGATTGATTCACAACTGCTCGGAGCTTCCTTGCTTCTGCAACTAGTCGTAGCTTACTGACAACTGACTAACGCTTACTCTTCTTACCACGATTTTTGTACTCCCACCTATATTCTAGAAATGTGCATGCCGCATTCTCAGGTACATCCTTTTCAATTACCCAATATTGTAAAGGGCCACAGGTATACGAATCTTCTTTCTTTCCCTGGCCCATTAGCACTTTTGTTGCTTTTTACCTGTAGTTTACCGAAATTTTCTCCGATAGTACATCCAGGTATGTAAATATGAAAGCGGAATTTTTGTATAGAAAATACACGTTTATTGTATGAAAACGATTAAAAATATTTTATTCGAAATATTGCCCATCGCTAGCTATACATTTTTCCCATCTGTCTGGCAATTGGTGGATGCCACGTCAAAAAAACTGTCGCTCTTTTGAGGCAAACCAGTCATCGAGCCATTTTCGTACATTTTCGTAAGCAATGAAATGCTGGTCAGAAAGTGCGTGTCCCATCGATGCAAATAAATAGTAATCGGACGGAGCCAAGTCTGGTGAGTAAGCCGCGTGCGAAAGTATTTCCCAACTGAACGCTTCAATCGTTTGTTTGACCGGTTTTGCTGTATGTGATGATGCATTATCATGAAGCAAAATTACTTTGTGTTGCCTTTTTTGATATTCTGGTCGTTTTTCTCGCAAAGCTTGATTCATATCGATCATTTATTGTCGGTAGCGCTCAGTATTAACGGTTTCGTCAGGTTTTAACAGCTCATAATAGATCACACCCTTCTGATCCCACCAAACACAGAGCATTGTCTTCCGTCCATAGCGATTTGGTCTTGTAGTCGATATCGGTGGTTCGCCTGGAGGTACCCGTGATCTTTTACGCTTAAGATTCTCAAAATATATCCCCTTTTCATCGCCAGTCACAATTCGACGGAGAAATGACTTTCTTTTGTATCTGGCGAGCAGCATTTCGCAAGTGGTTTTTCGGTTTTCCTGCTGTCTTTCATTCAGTTCATGCGGAACCCATTTTCCCATCTTCTGGATCTTTCCCGTGGCTTTCAAACATATGGAGACGGCTTCTCGTGTCACGTTTAATTGATCAGCGAGTTGTTGTTGCGTTTGAGCGTCATCCTCATCCAACAATGCTTGCAATTTGCTGTTTTGAAACTTTTTCGGTGGTCTTCCACGTTCTTCGTTCCTCGCGTCAAAATTGCCACTTCTGGATTTTTTAAACCACTCAAAGCACTGTGATTTACCAAGAGCATGCTCACCGTAAGCTTCGACAAGCATTCGATGCGATTCTGCAGCAGTTTTCTTCAAATGGTAACAGAAAATCAATGCTGTCCGCAAATCGTAGTTTCCAGGCACAAAATTTGACATGTTCAACGCTATTACAAACTATGCTGTTGTATGAAACTTGTATTGTTTTGAGTCGAAAATGTTTTTGAGACGTCAACAAAGACTTTTGGCATTAATGACGCAGTTCAGTGATAACTACATTATCAGCTAGGGCCATCTATATGCAAATTCCGGTTTCATACTTACAGACCTTCATATATACAGTTAACAGTTAATATATACAGTTAATGTTGTATAGGTATATATTAGAACTACGTTTGAATAAAATTTTGCCAGATCAAAATTCTTTTCCATTCAAGCATCGAGAATCCCTGCTTTTCTTCTAAAGGTTATTTCTTCCTCTTTTGTTTCGTAGATGTCTTCATTACAAAATTTTTCTCATATCTTAAGTATCATAAACTTTTTTTATTTATGTAAAGTCGGAGGTCGTCAAACTAGAAAACATTAGCATTGCCTAAATTATAAAAATAGCATTCGATCAAATATGTATCATTAACGACTAAATTATCATTGTACTATTAGAATAGCCTCGAGTATCTCTACGATCTGTTACTTTATTATTATCCATAGTATCAATCGAATTCTTGATTTAATCATTCAATCTGGCCGAACTTGAAGGCAAGGAAAGACATGTATCATTGTGCTATGATTATGGGAAAGTGCTTACGTGACAGACTATACGGATATAAGCGTATCGAAGAGGTATTAATTATAGTGGGCAGTACTAATATTGTGTCGTGTAAAGCGTGTAATTTCTGCACGTCTATCTAATACCGCGGCAACGGATTGAATGAAAGTGCCGTTAAGATGAATACGTATAGTCTTCGGTATAATACGATGCATTAGTTAGCCGGACAGTCGTACGATGCGTACAAAGCGATCAAACGAAGGCAATAAGGGTAGTTCACCGACCCCTGGAATTAATCCTATTAATAAGCGACAGAACCGATATCGTGATCGAGATGCGTATAATTTGAATAAAGTTGAATTAAACAATGAACGATAGGGTAATATAAACGAGGAGATACGAACCTTCAACTATAGTTACTCAGACGAATCTAAATTTTTATTTCATTCGTTTAAAATTAAAACAAGCCGATCAAGTTGCGATTAGGTTTAATAGTGACTAGGACTTTCTGTTTTCTGTATAAGTCCAAAAATTCTGTGGTCTGTACTTCTAACTATATTTTTCAAAATTTCTTCGATAATTTGATTGTTGGGCCGAACAATCATTTCCTTTAATTCTAAAGTGTGTAAGAACCGGCAATTATACGTATTGATCCGTTAGATCAATTTTCATAATTGGTGGTTTAACAAATAGTACATCAGTACACGTTCATGGCAACGATGAAAGTATAGACGTCTGAGAAACAGGAACAGATAATTCACAATGAAGAACAAAGTAGCATTTCTTAGTCGCACGACTGGTATCGGCTGGTTTTTCGTTAATGAGGTCGCGATTAATTATATATCATCAAGTCTTGATTACATGCTATGCAACACTTTTAGTCGTTTAAAAGAAAGCTTGTTAAACGATTGAAAAAAGAGGCGTATACGAGTATATCGTGTAATTTAACGAGGACGATGAACTTGATATCGAGCGTTAAAATAAATCCTGCGATTATATGATCGATCGTAGGATTTTGTGGAATTATCAGAATTGTAATGAATTTTGGGAAAATCGTGAGAATTAATTCTTTTCTACCTAGTTTAATGTAAACGATAGATAGACCATCAACTTACCAAATTTCGTCGGAAACGTTGAACAATATTCTCTTATATTTTAGGGTCTCTTAGGATTTTAAAATCCCTTGTCATTGTCTGCTTATTGAACCCTTCCTTTTGTCTAAAATCCTTTATAGCTAAAATCCATATACCTTTATACTTTATATTCTATTCTTGTCTCAAAATTACACTCGATACGGTATATACCTTGTTCCTTTCTCTTCGACGTACTCTCGTGGCCAAACGAAGTTTGATCAGAAAGCGGATATTCCCGGGTCCGGGAGAGAATCCGTAAAAGTCGTGAGAAGGAGAGGCTGTGTCCTGCTGGGTATAATAAGGACCTTCGTGGACGTTATCGGATATCAAGTGAGGAGAGTGGTCAGCGGGTCGTTGCGAGCCACGAAAAATCCTGCGCGGCAGCAGGTTGAGAGATCTGGACATCCGATACATCCGTTATGTTACCGAGCCACGCTCTATACCCGCCTTGTTCGACCCTGGATGCCAACTTTACGCACTGAACGTGCTTTTTCCTCCCTTATCGGCTTCCGG